CCTTTCTTTGAACATTTATAAAGTTCAAATTTGCATTGTACTTTTTGTAACTTGGGGCCAATAAAATTGTTTCAGTCTCAAACATTTTCATAGGTACTTGAAAAGCCCATTGAATATAATGGCCCAGGACACATAGCTGCTTGTGTATGATTGGCCAACTAGGCAATAAAAGTCAATTAAGCCTGCTGGTGTTGCTCAGTGGATAGAGCCCCAGCCCTGGCGCCAAAGGGTCCAGGCTTTGGTTCCTGGTCAAGGGCATGCACCTGGATTGCAGGTTCAATCCCCAGCCCTGGTTGGGGCTCGTAGGGGAGGCAATCAATCCATGTGTCTCTCTTACATTGACGTTTCTCTCTCTCTCTCCTTCCCTCTCTCTCCCCTTCCCTCCCTTCCACTCTCTGTAAAAATCAATGGGGAAAATATTCTTGGTGAGGATTAACAAACAAACCAACAAACCCAAAAGGTCAATTAAGACTCTCATTTTTCTCTAAGACACCCCAGAGCGGAAGAAGGGGAAACATGGCTTTCCCTTCCGTTTCCAGGACTTTCGTTCTCATTTCTTTCAGCAGTGTGTCCCCACTCCGCTTCCAAGTGTATAACACATGCCAGCTCACATCCAGGAGAGCTGGAGACCGAGTCACAGACACACAGCGCCCCCCCCCCCCACACACACACAACTGATTTTCCGGGGGAAATAATTCACGATGAACATTTCCTTAAGTGGACATTCCAGCCTGAACATGCGAAACACTCCTGTTTTAATTTCTGGTCTTCAGAGGATAGTGGTTTCTGACACTTTTTTTTTTTTTTAAGTTGGGCATTTTTCTGCTTTTCTTCTGCCACTCCTGGTCAAGTGCAGGCGACAGGTCTGTATGTGGCCGGTCCTTTCCGCATCTCGGGTGGACTGTTTGTCACCGTCTGGATGTGTTATTAGGGGCTTCATCCGGTTGGGGGTGACCCCGCCCTCCGCCCCCCCCCCCCCCCCCCCCCCCCGCTGCTCTGGGAACTTGGGCCACACTCCATGAGATAACGGCCTCAGGAGGTACTGAGGTCCCTATGCGGGGACGACCGAGTCCGCAGCATTGACCTGTGGACCCACACCTCCTCCTCCGACCCCCCTGGCCATCGGACGCCCACAACCGCCCCACAGCCCTGACCTTCCCCAGTGACCCCCACCTGAGCCCTGACCGCCAGGCAGCGTCTTCATCTCCGCCACCTGACACCCCGTTTTCGCCCTGACATTAAGCTGCGCCGCCGGACGCCCCCGCGGCCCCTCGGGAATTCCGGCGGCCACGCCCGCCCGCCCCGCGCCCCCCCGGACCCCGGCGCCGACCCGGAAGACGCGGGGACCCGAAGGCGCAGCGTGCTTCTTGCAAAGTGATTTCTCGGAAGAAGGCGAGCCAGGAGGGCCACGCCCATTGGGCGGCTCCGGAGGCCTTCGCGCGACCATTGGCTGGCGCGACCGGCGCGTGGCGTGCCGGGCCCGCCCCCGACCTTAAATACGCGCGGGCGCCGGAGCCCGCGGCCGCAGCTCCCGAGCGCGGCGGGCGAGCGTGGGAACGCGGGCGGCGGCACCGAAGGCGGGCGGCGGGCCGGGCGCGCACGGCTGCAGGTAGGTAGCCGGGGCGGGCGGGAGGGGATCAGGCGGCGACCAGGTTCTGCCGGGCCGAGACAGCGGGCACCAATGCAGCTGCCGCCGGTTTCCGAGCCGGCGCTGCCGCTTCCCCCAGTGCCCTGTTTTCTCCCCCCGCAACCCTCTATTTCTCAAGGTCCAAGTCGTTGATCATTATGCGGCTGCCCCTAAATGGCTTTGATGCTAAAAAAAAAAAAATCTCATTTTTCTTAAAATCTGGTTTGCATGGACGACTTTGGAATGGTTCATATAATGAAGGGAAATGTTTACCCTTTACTATAAAACTCCCGTTGTCCCACTCAAATCCCACTACATGGAACGATAGTTGGAGGGTCATAGCGATGAAGCTGTCCAATAACCAGTACTGCTTGTGCGGGTTACCTTGTGAAGGGGCAGACTGGATTTTTTATCCTGATCGATGACAGGTTTTCTGAGTGAGGTTTGAGGTCCTTTGCTTCCACCATAGCCCAGTCTCCCCTGGCAAGAAGTCTGTATGGGGTCACAACTAACAAGACCATTTTTATGTAAAATGTCCCCACGGCAAAGGGCAGACTCTGCGGTGAGAAGATGAAATGTATTGCCCAGAGCCGTGAAGTGCTTCAGGAATGGAAACTAGAGACCGCATGTTCCAGGATTTTAAACGATTCCCCTAACATATGGAGGGATATAACACACTTTTTAAAACCTGTTAGGAGCCAGTCTGAGAGTTTCCTTTTGGATTATGGCACGTTCCTCATTGTAAAGAATTAAGGGTGGTTTAGTTATTTTAGCAAGATTAGGGCCAGAGGGAGACATGGCTTTGATGCTTTTTGGGTCTCCTGGCGGCCAGGGCGGATGCCCAGGGGCCCTGAGAGGTGTGGGAGCAGGCGAGTCCTGCACCACCTGGCAGGTACATCCCGGAATCGGGTTAGTTGGGCCCAGGGCAACCTCTTATCACCTGCCACCTGGGAAGCCTGACCCCCGGACTCATTTATAGGGTAGAGATTAGCTCCAGATAGGACTTGGCCCATAAAAAGAATTATTACCTAAAAATCAAGGAAGAGGAAGTTATAAACATGTGACTGGGCTTATAAAATTTTCCTGGCTCAGCATTTGGTGGAATTAATTTGTTAGTGTTTAATAGATCATTATGGATCTCCATTGTATTAGAATCAGAGGCTTTTAATGCTGCTTAGAATCTTGCAGGTGATCTCATTGAAAATTCAGGCGGGGCTGTCCATGTGCTGAGGTCTTATAATCTAACCATGGTTTTCCCTGCAGAGTGAGTAAAATAAGACCCCTTTGCTGGGGTTGGGGTGCCTTTCTGGGCCTCAGTTTTTCCATTTTTGGACCAAGAGGGGCTGGATTAGATGATTTCTAAAGTTGGTCCAGCTTTTATATTGTATGACTTACTCTCCCTCTTAATGCCAGCTCTCTTACTTTCTCTTCTCTGTTCTTTTCCTCATAAATCACCAAGAGAGTTGTCTGTAACTATTTTGGGGTTATAAATCCATTAAAAATCCCTCCAAGAAGGTGGTGATCACTTTCTGGAAAAATTCCCATACAAACAAAATACTGCTTTTCATTTCAGGATGCTCCTGGAACATGAACTCTAGTGTATGAACCTTGTACTAAGGGGGTGAGCAAAATGCTAGTGAGCAGGAACGTGTCCTTCAATAGACAGATCCACAGACACCTTTCTCTTGTGCTCTGGCCCCGCTCCCTGTCCCCCACACAGCTCCTTCCTCAAGGAGGGGACAGTCTCCCGCCTTTCCAGCAGGAAAGACCCATAGGAATGTGCACCCTGCCAAGTTACTTTCTGGGAGGAACTTGGTGGTGTCGTTTCATTTCTCTCATTAGGTGCTCTTCCCAACTTTGTCCCATGTTTATAATCACAAGGGACTGTTTTAGAATTCGGGGACACGAGCTCCATTCACTTTGTACACGAGGAGAACCTCAGAGAGAGTTTCAAACAGCTCAGCCAGGCCAAGTTAGAGAAAAGCCTTTGGCTGGAGCCTACGGTTTTCAAATTGAAGCCCAATGACCATTCCACACACTTCACCCCTTTTCCATCCACAATGGGGCAGTTGGGGCTATTGTAACCTTTTCATTGGGTGCTCACAGGACCTCACCTCTTTCTCAGGACCTGGATGCACTCTCTGACCCCATAGCCACCTGCAGAACTTTCATAACTTGTTGCTTTATGGACCAGCATGGCTCTAGATGTGACCATATTCTTGGGGACATTATGTCTTGTCACTGCTGATGGTTTCAAACTTGTTTGCCAGAAGAGGTCACATTTTAATCAGAAGAATAGAAATGCCTTTTTTTTTTTTTTGGGTGGGCGTCTGTCCAACTGCCTAGGGGATTCCCACCCCTGTTCTTGTAAACGTGGGCTGAGAGCTGATACAGCATGATTGCTTTCTCTTTTCTTTGTGCTGTGGGGACAGCTGTCTGCTCTGGCAGAATGATCTCCCAAAGGATGTCTTTGGGCACCTTGGGATGGTGAGGTCCCCTGGTTTTGGCATCTTCTGGAAGAGTCTATCTGGGCTAACTTTGTCTGTAGCCACAGCTGATTTCCTCACGCTTGTCTGCTCTCTCCCAGTTGGTCCTGAGGAAGAAAGTTGGGGTAATAATAACATCTGTATTTAGAGAACTCTTCAAAGGTCCAGATGTTTTCTACACATTGTCTGAGCCCTCCTTACAATGATGCCAAGTACTGATAGTTGTCCCCGAGTTTCAGCCAGTGTGGCTGACACTTCAGCGTTAAAAGATGCTCCCAGGCCACCCTGCTGAGAGATGGCGGGATTCGAATGGGACCTGCGCTCTGCCCTTCCCAAACTCATGCTGTTACCACTAAACCAGCTGTGAAGGAACAATCTAGAGGGATAGCCTGAGACTTTCCTCTTTCTTGGAGATCACAAATGTCCCATTTGCTCACAAACACTGGTCAGACTGGGCATCGAGCAATGGAATTGGCTCTTAGAGTGATGGGTGCTCATGGAAGGGGCCTGGAAATGTAAAAGTGACTTTTCCCTATCTCCTGCTCTAAACGGAATGATGCCCTTAGATGTGCCTGAAAGGAAACCTGGGGTAAAAGCTGGAAGGACACAACCAGAACAGTAGGTGGGGCCAACATCTGGGTGAAGGGCAGCTGCCGAGTTCCCAGGGAGCTTTCGGTTTTCATTCGAGGCTCTGAGTCCTGGACCAGGCATTGTCTTCTCAGGGCAGGCGGCCGCAGTCCTGGATCTGCGGGATTCCCCCAGCTGGCACCTGCGTTGCCGCCCTCTGATTTTCCCGTTAGTACTTCTGGGCTGTTAAGTACCTGGGGTGCTGTGATGAATGAGACAGTGCTTGTAATGTCTGAGAATATGTTGTTTTCTTTCTAAGGATGTGTGACCGGAACGGAGGCCGGAGGCTTCGGCAGTGGCTGATTGAGCAAATTGACAGCAACATGTACCCAGGGCTGATTTGGGAAAACGACGAGAAGAGCATGTTCCGGATCCCTTGGAAACACGCTGGCAAACAAGATTATAATCAGGAAGTGGACGCCTCCATTTTCAAGGTAAAGGCTGGGCTTCCCTCCCCTGACCATGAGCCTAGCTTCTGTCTTCCCTCACCAGCTGGTGGAGGTGTTGAGCGACAACTTTTCTTATTTGCTTGAAAATGAATCCAATGTTTAAAAACAAACATTGATTGTGTGCAGAATGTGTCTAAAAAATATACCATGTGATTTTGCAGCTATTATGTGATTTAATCACTTTGAGGTCAGTTGTAGAGTGGTGCCTTTTTTTGGTGAGATTAAGGACACTTTCTTCATTCTTGCAAAGTTGTAACTTCTGGTTGGCAGCGTAGGGTCAGCTCAGTGAGAGAGACACCATCTGTCACTGCTTCCGGGCTGGGTCAGATGGGATGTCCTGCTGCAGGTGCCTAGAAATAGCCTCCTTCCCTTGAGAATAGTGAGCACCCCAAGCACTGAGGGACTTGCTCTTTGGATCTACCAGTTGCACGGTGACTGCCAGCATTGGTTGAGGGTTTGCTCTGTGGCAGGCCTGGCCCCACAGGGTTTGAGTTTTCCTCTCACACAGTCCTCTGCAGGAGGTGCTGTCCTTGTCCTTGTTCTGTAGAGGCACTGAGAGGAGAAGTGACCTGTTTAAGATCTCACAGCTCTTGGATGATGGAGCCAGCATTGAACCCAGGCAGCCCCCCTCTGAGCCCACACTCCCAAGCTCTAGCAGTACTGAGAAACAGAGGTTTCTTGCCATTACACCTATTACACCTAGATTCAGGCCGAGGAGCCAGGAGCCAGGGCAGCGCAGCTCTGCAGCCTAGTGGGTCACCAGAATCCTGTCCCGCACCCCGCCCGCTCCCTGGGGTGCTTCTCTAAGGCTCCAGAAGTGCAGTCTCCATCCCCTGAAGAGATCTGTAGCCCTAGTCAAGGTGAGCCCAGGCTTCCATTTTTGCAAACAGATGCACCACAGGTGGTCTGACTCAGAGCCCGGGTTGCAAACTGCTGCTGCTGCTGTGTGCTGGTTCTGTGGGCATTTGGGCCTTTCCCATCACACTGCTCCCTGCTTCAGCTTATGCCCACAGAACCGGGACAGGGAGGGGACAGTGAGTGATATGGAGGAGGAGTGCAGAGGCTGAGTTGTGAAGGGCCAGAACCAGACCTGAGACCTTGGATGAATGAGGGGAGTGAGGCCCTGCGGGACCCCTTGGCAACACCAGACTCAGCCAGGGATGACTGTCTTCTGACACAAAAAGCCCAAAATGACCAAAGATCATACCTTGCTTGGCCTCAGAGTGGAGCATAAGTAGGTCAGAGTTGGCTTATGAGGCATTTCCGTCCTTCAGTTCTCTTTTTGACCTTTGCAGTGGGGCCACACATGTAGCAATTCTATTAAGTTTGTCACCTGGGGTTGCAGGCCTCTTTGAGAATCGGATGCCAACTACTGGCTCTCTCCAAGGAGAGTGGGCACCTGTGGGTGTTTTGCACTCGCCTTCAAGGGGCCCCATGTGGCCTGCATGCCCAGCAGATGTTTTTTTCCATCAAGGACCCCAGGTCAGGAGCCTGGGTTCTGCCAGGTTTTTGAGCTGCTAGTGCATCCTTTCTTATTCACGGGGGGGGGGGGGGGGGGGGGGGGGGGGGAATGCGGATTCCTCTCTGATAGAGGTTTTTTGCCTTTAGCGTTATGGTGAACTTCTCTTGGGAATGACTCTAGCTAAATTTAAACAGTGCTAGGGTCCACCTGGTCAGCTGGGAGTTCTAGATCAGCGGTTGCCAACCTTTCGGGCCTCACAGACGACCAGTGGTCCGCGGGCCACCGGTTGGCGACCGCTGTTCTAGATTATCAGTGGCTAGCAGCCGGGGCTCCTCAGCTGGGACATCTAAGGCCAGATTGTTCCTGGTTGGGGGTCATCCTGTGCACTGTGGGATATTTGGCAGCATGCCTGACCTTACCGACTAGATGCCAGCAGCACCTGCCCCCCCCACGCGTGACAACCAAAAATGCCTCCGACATTGCCAGACGCTCCCCGGGGCGTGCTCTCCCCTTTCACATTGAGAGCCCCTCAAGGAGCTGACCATGGCCAGGAAGGACAGATTGAAGCAGAAGTGTGGGGTGCTGAGGGCACAGTGGCAGGCTGACCATCAGTAAAACTTCTTCAGGAGGAGAGTAGAGGAGAGTAGAGGGGGCTGGACCCGTAGGCTGCATAACCCCGGCTGGTGGCTTGCTGGAGGAGAAGCAAGGCCGTTCCCTTCCCACTGCTCCCTGCTTCAGCTTCTGCTCTGGGGGTAATGAAATAAAGCCCCAGATTTATGTATCTTATGCAATGTTCTGCATGGCCGTTTCAACAGCGTTGAGAAAAATGTGCAAGATTCCCAATGTTTCCGTTGATTACGCAGTCGCTCAGTGTGGCAATCTGAAATGAGTGTACAATCTCAGCAGGAATGGGGGCGGGAGGGAGACAGGGCGCCCACCCAGAGCTGGGCGGGCCACTGGGAGGGCGACAGCCTGGGCTGGTGAAATACAGGTGGGAAGGAGCCATCTCTGAGTTGCGCTAGCTCACGCCATCCTCGGAGGGGCATTTCTCTGTCCACCAAATGTGCCTGCTGTTGGAAGGAGTCAGTAGGCAGGCCTTGGTGAGATAGAGCCATTTAGGGCTTTTCGGGGAAGTGGAGAACCCTTTCGTTTCATACAAAGACCACCTTTTAAAAATGTCTGAGTTAAAACCAGTTTGTTTTTCTGCCTGTGTAAGTGGGTCTTCAGAATCTACTTATACCAGAGACCCCTTCACTGTCCGCAGGCGTCATCCTGAGGCCGGCTTCATGGTGGGGACCAGAGATGGGAGATTGCAAAGGACATTGGGCGCAGTTTGTACTATCCCTGGTATACTGATGAGGCCCTGATAGCAGCTCATACTTATTTTAAAAAAAGTATTTTGCTTCTTTTTCAGAATGTTCAGGGTAGAAATTGAGTTAAGGGGTTCTTGACAGATCTCCCAGTGGGGTGATATCTTAGAGCCAGCCCGAGAACCCTGGAAAGAACTCAGTGCAGGCTGGAAGCGGGTCTCTGCATTTCATGAGCTCCCAGGGGATTGCCATTAAGTCGAGAACAGCTGGCATTTAATCCCATACAGGGTCACCTCGGAAAGGTACCCCTTGGAATTGCAGTTTCCCAAGCGGGGTTGAGAATTTCCTCTAGCTCTGGTATTATTTTAGGTTGGAAGATTCTGCCTAATGCCAAAGGTTATTTTCACCTGACAGTGGTGACCTAATTGGTGTGTTCTGTATTCCAATTTTGAAATTAAAACTATGTCCCTTCACACCTTTGATTTAAAAAAACAAACAAACAACAGTGCCCCATTCTACCTTTGACCTTAAGTTTCCAGTTTTGCATCTTTGTTCCTAGTTCGGAGTCTAAGGTTTGGAGAGGTCAGAAAACAGAGCTGTGAAAAGCCCAACAGAGTGAGAGACTATTTCATTGCATTTTAAACAGCGCCTGGGGAGGTGGGGGGAAGGCTAGAATAAATGCCAAAATGCAAAACACAATTTCTATTAAAAGTAGCAGGGCAGTCCGTGGATGACCACACTCAGAATTTTTGCAAATGTTTCCTTCTCATGCTAAATTTTCATGCCAGGGGCTGATTAAAAAAACACACACACACAAATTGTTCTTTGTTTTGAACATTCTAGTGAAACCATGTGCACTTCCTCCTTGTGCTACTTGACCTCAAGCTCCTCCTGGCTCGCTGGTCCAGGGAAGGAATTGTGTTGGCCTGAGTTCCAGTTTCAGCTCAGCTGGGAGATCTTGGGGTCCCCTTCCTGGCCTCGGTCTTTTTACTTCTGTCTGAGAAAGTGGTCCGATTGAGGCCTGGAATTCCTTGAATGAGAGTCGATGGCTAAACATGCCTCTCAGGAGGGCGAGCAAGTGCTGGTGGGGACTGTGGCCATGGATGTCTGTGGCCGAGGGGCTGACTGTTTCATGTACTGCTCTCTCTCCTTTCAGGCCTGGGCGGTTTTTAAAGGGAAATTTAAGGAAGGGGACAAAGCTGAACCAGCCACATGGAAGACAAGGCTACGCTGCGCTTTAAACAAGAGTCCAGATTTTGAGGAAGTGACAGACCGGTCCCAGCTGGACATTTCCGAGCCATACAAAGTTTACCGCATCGTCCCAGAGGAAGAGCAAAAATGTAACTATCCTGGATGGGCACTCAGTCCAACGGAAGCTGCCAGGCCCAGGCCGGGGGTGGAAGCCGCCGCCCACAGGGTCTGGGGCAAGGGGTTTTAGCTAAACAAAATAGTTCTCTCCTTTGTATAAGGAATTCTCTTCCCACTGACCTCACCCACCATCTGCTGACCAAGTGGCAGCTTCCAGTTGAGTGAGAGGTGGCGCCGATGGGAGGAAAGGGCGGGAGATTGGGTGGCAGCCAGCTCTGCTGACTTGGAGTGCTGCAGGACATCCCTGGGGTCAGGGATGAGATTGGGCAGGAGCAGGGATCCTCTGACAGTGTGGAAGGAATTCCTTTTGTTTTCTAGCAGCTCTGAGAGGAGGCTAGGGGACCATCAGGTGGACAAAGAAGGGATGGCTGACTAAGGTACAGAGTGAAGTTCTTGAATGAATTTTTGGATGATGACACTGTTAGTTTCGTTGCTATGACTCAACACTGTCAGAGCGTGATCATTGTTTAGGAATTCAGGATGTGATGATTCCTGAAGTTTCTTCCAGCTCTGTAATCCCAGGAAAGCATCTGTGAAGAATTCAAAGCAGGGATAGCAACAACGTGCTGCACATCTCCCAAGGCCCGATACCCATGCTCCGGTCAGACATCACTGATCAACCAGGATGTGTGGAGCTCAGATCTGGCCCCAGAATCCTTTTCAAAGTGGTGTGCTGTGCAGCTGCTATGCATGGGAGCTGGCCCATGAGATAAAATCTAATTGCCACCTCTGGTTTAAAACATTTGTTAACACATTGACTTTCTTAGCCATTAGATGTAGCAGTTAGAATATTGGCATGGCATCCTTTTCTCCTTCAGAGAAGTCCAGTAAGGCCTGAAAGAGATAGAACTCTCTGGTAAGGGCTATGTAGAAATTCTAAGCTTGAGTTCTTCCCACTGTGGGAAGGTTAAAAATGTTGATGGGTAATTTTAAAAAAGTTAAAGTTGTGACCCTAACAAATATATGGTGAACCTGGATCAGAGAGTTACTTGATTCATTAGTGAGGGAACCAGCTCAATGACAAAAATTGTTTGACAGAATATGCCACCCTGGCAGACATGGTCAGTGAAGGGCGAAGGTTGAGCCTGGCCCTACATCACAGTTTGGGAGTTATCTTTTCTGCTGGTCGTTTGTAGCTTAATTGCCTGTACATTAACACCTGGCTTTACTGAGTTTGAAGTCTAATCGATAGTCAGTACGAAGTCAAACAAACTGACCTGGAAAATCAGATGACCCTTAGGGGAGACCTCTTGGATAATCCTCTGGAATGGTTTCAAAAGGCCAGTCATCTTTTTGCTTTATTTCTCAGTTTTGGAAATATGTATATATTTCCAATATATAATTTTTTTTTGTCACCACAAAGTAAATTGTGATTTGAAGTAATGGAGAAGTTTCTCTTACGCCTCTACCCCCAGGAGCAGCCAAGCTTGACCTGGCAGGTGACCCCAACTTGTTTATAGTATAGGGCACAGCCAGCATCACCTGCAAGGGTGGATGTTAAAGAAGCAGGTTCTCAGGGGGGCAAAGAGGCATGGTATTTGCATAAAGTCTACATGGACCCATTCGCCTCTGTACTTCAGTAGTTTGCAAGCTACATTGGGGGTGCCCCACCTGCCCCCTACTTCCCCCATCAACAGCTTCTAAGTGAATTCTTGAATCTATCAAAGTGGAATAAAAGTTCAGCGAGGATGAAACAATAGGCCAATTTTGTAGCTCGCTGGGACTAATGTTATAATACATCTCACACTGATAAAACTTAAACTTCTTCCTGGGGAAGAGGCATAAGAGTGAGGAGGAGACTAGCCTGATCCAGAGAGCTTGTTGTGGAAATGCTCACATGCCTTTAGTGATTCCTGACGAAGGCAGGTTTGAACTGGGCCTGGGTGAGTCTTTGCCGTGCCGTGCGTGTGCGTGGGGGGTGTGTGTGTGTGCAGATGCACACGTGTACTGGTATATTTGGAAAGGCTAAAAGGAGATTTCCTGCCAATTAACTTAAAAAAAAAAAAGAACCTAACCTGCAAACATATTTTGCCAGGAAACCTACAAGTGCCCAGCTTGTAAATTTAACCTCTGCAGGGCGGTAGACACTTGGTGTCAAGGGGCTCTGATACGCATTCATTTGAGATCCCCACAAACAGAGGGAAGAGACCCAAGTGCTCTTTGGCCTCTAAGTGTTAGAAACAACAACAACCAACTTCTCTCTTTTGATTCTGCTGATCAGATGACTGAAGAAGCCTGAGAAAAAAATTTCTCGGCCTTCCCAAACCAGGGAAGATACTGACTTTTATTTCCTTCCACTCAGCATTTAGAAACAAACCACTGATGGCCTCAATGATGGTAGGGATGCCTCAGTGCTCTGGCCACATTTTGTCATGTTTGTCTGCTTTTCCACAGGCAAATTAGGCGTGTCGACTCCTGGCTGTGTGAATGAAGTCACTGAGATGGAATGTGGTCACTCTGAAATTGATGAGCTGATCAAGGAGGTAAGTGGGGCAGTGTTTCCGGAGGTCTGGCTCGACAGCAGAAGGTATTGTTCTTGCTCTACGAAGACATCCAGAGCCTCGGGCTCTCCCAGCAAAGCTTGCCTCTGCCCCGGCAGAGAGAGAACGTGAGGACTGGGCCACCGGTGTGAGGCCAGCCTCCGCCAACCGGTCAGCCCGTTCACCTGGTGTCCAGTCCTTAATCCCAAGGGCTGGGGAGAGTGCTTGCTCTGTGTCAGTGATGCTTCCGCAAGCTCTGGATTTTCATACTTAAACCTTCTGAATGCCAGTCTTTGGTAATGCACCCTATATTTTCGTACCTTCTTAGCATGCTGCAGTGAACAGTATGGGAACTTTCCTACCTGCTTAGGGTTGTCCCTATGGCATGATTATTGTACTAGCTTTTCATGGCTGGTGGGCTGCCTGTCTTCCAGTACACAGCTTTTCATCCTGGATGGGTTAGAACGCCATATAACCAAGCCTGTTAGAATTGTACGTAAAGTCATAGTTAATAGGCTATAAGTAAAGGCTTAATGGGGTCCTAGGCAATGGGTATTTGAATACCAATTTTAGCTCTTTGGGTGCCATTTTCTTCTACCTTTAGCCTTTTAACTATGTTTTTATGGCTATTACAGGGTGGACATTGCATAGCTAAAATAATCCCACACAGCCCTTGTAAAAGGTGGTGGAGGTGCTATATAATTCTTCTTCATTCACATAGCAATGCTAGAATCCTTGGGAGTGGCTTGGTGGTCAGGAAATGCAGATAACAAAATATAATCTACTCTGAGCTGCCTGACTTCTGCACGTGGCAGCTGTTACGTGTCTGGGTGGTCTTTGGCAGCAGATCAGCGGAATTCCTGGTTTCCTGTCACTCCAACAATGTCCCGTTTTCCATGAGGCTTTTCTGCTGACTCAGCGAAGAGAGTGAAATAACAGGATTGGTGCACCAGGATCACAGGAAAAGCAGATTTCAAAAACGTTTCCTCACTGGATTTACCCACCTCCTTTAGGAAAGGGGTCCGAGATGGAGAGTTGAGACATGGTGTATTGAGTGAGATTCACGAAAGCTTGGCAGAGTCCATTCAATGTCAGGGGCGCTGTGGTCCCAGAACCGGCAACAGGCAGTTTCAGGGAAAGGTCAATAAACTTATTATTAAGGGCCCTGAAGAGGCTAGTAATTCAGTGATCGCTGACTATCCTGGTTCTTTCAAGATACAAGTAAAACTTCCCTTTTGTCTTATGAGCTAACGGTGACAATATGGTCTTAGTTAAGCATAAGCCTTTCATCTTTGCAACTCTGGGGTCCTGCTTTGGAAGCCTAGTGACCGTGCTGCTCTCTGTCTTGTTCCCGGTCGCACAGCGTCCTGTGGATGAGTACATGGGGATGGTCAAAAGGAGCCCTTCCCCGCCTGAGGCCTGCAGGAATCAGCTCCTCCCAGACTGGTGGATGCAGCAGCCCAGCGCAGGTGAGGATGGGAGTCCAGACCACTCCCAGTGCTTGGGGGCTGGACGTGTTTGAATGCTTTCAGCCTTATAGCAGCCAGGGTGGTGTGGGGACGGGACGGGGGTACTGCTATGATCCCTATTTTAATGACGGTGACTGCCTCCCAGGAAGGCACATGTGTCCTTCCCATAGGAGGTGTCTGCTTCCCGCGCAGCTCCTGGGGACGCCAGAGGGGAGGGAGTGCAGTGAACGTCTCCGGACCAGAGGGTATTCACAGCTCTGGGCCATGTTAGGCCTGTACGGCCCTCCATCCAGTTTCTTCAGACATTAGGGACCTCTCAGAGCCAAGCACGGCCCAGAGCGGCGGCTGGAGAGCAGGGGAGCCCCAGAACGGGCACTTGCTCGCTCAGAGCCCTGGATTTGAGTCCCCTGTCAGAAGTTGCATATCGTATACAAGGCTCAGTTTCCTCATGACAAATGGAGACACCAGGACTGACCCTACAGGGTCTGGAAGCTAAATGAGGCATTCACCCTCTTATTAGCTCCTGATGACCCGCGCCCTGCACCACTGCTTGAAATGACCCTCCCTCCGGGAGCATGAGTGCCTTTGCTCCCTTACTTGGCCTCTCCCCCACTGTCCCCTGTGGGAGACCAGGAGGCGGTCGCTAGCCTAATGGGCCTCAACGGTTGTGGGTGTGGGGTGGTGTCAAATCAGGGGCCCTGGAGAGCCCCCCCTCCCTGTGCCAGCGGCACCTCTGAGAAAGCTAGCTTGGGCCGGGCTCCCCTTCAAGTCAAGCCCTGGCTGGTGGACACGCAGTCCCCCGGTATTTTGGGAGCAGGGGGAAGGAAGCGCGGCCCCACAATGTCACACTGACACATGGTCAGAAATCCCACAGCACAGAGGAAGTCTCCCCCCTCCATGCTGGTTGGGTTGAGGTCTGGTTTTCTGCGTTTATGAAACATAGGTCGCCGCACTGAGAGGGAAAAACACCGAATTCAGCGGAAGCCTGTGGCAGGGCCTCAGGAGCACGCCATATGCGGCTTTTTAAGAAACTTTTGGAGAGGGGGAGCATGTGGGTTGCTTCCCCTGCACACAACTGAGTGTGGCTGGATCTGAGTCTGCTTTTCTCTTCCTCCAGCAGGCTTGCCGCTGGTGCCGGGTTACGCCGCCTATGATGCACAGCATTCAGGTACGAAGTGCTCTGGGCCAGGCCGGGTGGGGGGCACTCTGAAGACAAAACTCGAAGGACCTGTGTGGGTTCTTGAGGGCCCCTGGATGAGCATGATCTGGTGTCAGAAATCGGGCACCTGATTCCTCCTTTTCACTGTTTGGTTTGGGAGTGAGCAAGTGGCTGGCCTCTTTGAGAGTCTTCTTGGACTAGACCAACAAATAGATCCAAAGAGCTCTTTGCAGGTGTAACTATATGGGAGAAAGAGTGTGGGGACAGATACACTCAAGGCCCAGCTCTGCCCCTGTCATGTGACCCCAGGCAAAGTAATTGAACCACTTGGGACCTCAGGCTTCTCCTCTGTAGAGTAGGGACAACAGTAGCAACTACCTCATGGGAATGTTGTGAGGGTCAAACACAGTGTTACTAAAACTTTCTGGTAGGGACATATTGGTCAAGGGATGTCACCAGTGACAGTTTGTTTTACTTTCTCCCACCTAAGTTTATAACAATAACAATGCTAATAACGATAATGGTGGCGATGATGCTGGTGATGATGGTGGTTATGATGGTGATGATGGTAATGATGGTGAGGGTGATGGTAATGATGGTGAGGGTGATGATGGTGATAAAGATGATGGTGGTGATGATGTTGGTGGTGATGGTGGTGATGATGATGGTAATGATGGTGATAAAGATGATGGTGGTGATGATGTTGGTGGTGATGGTGGTGATGATGATGGTAATGATGGTGATAAAGATGATGGTGGTGATGATGTTGGTCGTGATGGCGGTGGTGATGGTGGTGATGATGATGGTAATGATGGTGATGGTAATGATGGTGATAAAGATGATGATGGTGGTGATGATGTTGGTGGAGATGGTGGTGATGATGATGGTGGTGGCTGACATTAGTGAATGCTAACTGGGTCCAGGATCATCAGTGAGACTTTCATGGCCTGATCTCATCATCACTTTCCACCACCCCTAGGTAGGTGCTGTTATTTCCGTTTCACCAGCTCAGAAACCCCTGGTCACAACACTTGTCGGCCACAGAGTGGGGTGTGGCCCCAGGCTGTTCCATCCCTGCTCCTGCCCCAGATGACAGAGGTGGTCGCTGTGCCACATTGTTGTCTAATTACATTGGGGACTCAGACCGTGTTCCTGCCAGCGGCTCCTGGAATTTACATTCAGGCTCGTTGATGGCGTCTTCAGAGCAAAGGAAGCTGGTGCCTTCCCCCAAAGCGGCAGGTTCTGTGAGAAGGGAGCAGCCTGCCTCATTAAGATGGGCCACATAATGTTGGGGCCGGGGACCCGAGGCCTCCTGGCACAGAGGGGGAAACGGGGTGCAGAGAGAAGGGTCTTGACCACGGCCCTCATGGGATGAGTGTTTTTGGGTGGATAGAGGTAGGGTCTCACCCAGGCAAGAAAATTTTAAAGCAAACGATGCTCCCATTCATCGAGCCCTTGCCCATTGCACAGCGGCCCTGGGAGCTGGGGACTGTTATAATTCTGGCTTCACAGATGAGGAAACTGAGGCTTAGTGGTTAAATCTCTCATCTCAGATCACACAGCTGGTAAATGGGGTTGCCGGCTTCAAACCCAGGCATCTGGCTTCAAGTCTGTTTTTAGATTTATGCTGGGCAGCCACCATGCTCACCAGAAGCTCAGCTCCTAGAGGCCCTGGGTCATGGGACCGGGCCTTTGACCTGGTTAGCTCTGGGCTATGGCCCCGGGAGTCTGCTGACCGGCGCTTCCCGGGGGCAGGAGAGCAGTCTGGCACATGCTGCAGTGTCTGGGCGAGCAGACATGGTCTGAGGAGGAAGCGTCCTCAGTTATTCCAGAGCTGTCTCAGCACACAGCAGGTGGAATGACTCGCAAAGAGAATCCTACACCGTTCCCCTAGAACAGTGGTTCTCAACCTTCCTAACGCCGCAGCCCTTTAATACAGTTCCTCATGTTGTGGTGACCCCAATTTCATTGTTACAAATTGAACATAATTAAAGCATAGTGGTTAATCACAAAAACAATATGTAATTATATATGTGTTTTCCGATGGTCTTAGGCGACCCCTGTGAAAGGGTCGTTCGACCCCCAAAGGGGTCGCGACCCACAGGTTGAGAACCGCTGCTCTGGAAGTTGTGGACTTCGGTACCTCTGCTCGGTTCACACAACCCCTCCCCCCATGTAAATAAGTTGTCAGGGGCCCCCAGTTCTTACCCCTATAGGGACAGGTAATATAATGGTGAAGTGTCAGGAGAAGGACAACAGGGAGTGGCAGAGACTGTGGCAAAGTGGAGGGGCCACCCTCCTCTGGGCTGCTTGTGGTTCCTGCCCAGTGGACTCACAGACCCAGCCAGGCTCAATTTTCCCATTTTCTTAGAACCAGAGGTCTGAATTTTTAGGTGAAATTTTCCCATATAGAAGGCTGGCAGCAAATTTGTGTTAGCAACACCTCACTGTGCTGGTGGATCCAAACATGTCTGTGGCTGCTGTTTGTGCTCTTAACTGTATGTATTTGAAATAATCGGGGTGAAGTACAGTGTTTGAAACTGACTGTGTGACTTGGAGCTTAAGAATACAGATGTTGTGCCCTGGCTGGGATGGGTCAGTTGGTTGAGCATTGTTCCATGCACCGAAAGATCACTGGTTCAATTCCCAGTCAGGACACATACCCAGGTTGCGGTTCGATCCCCAGTCAGGGTGGTTATGGGAAGCAACTAATGAGTGTTTCTCTCTCTCTCTCCCTCTCCCTTTCTCTTTCTCTCTCTCAAATCAATTAAAAAAAAAAAAAAAAAGAACTCAGATGTGGAGCCAGTCTGCTAGGGAGGGAGTGCATCCAGGCTCCTCAATTAGCAATCGTGCCATTGACAACAATCACCTTAACCTGTCTATGACTCAGTTTTCTCACCTGAAAAATGGGTATAATTTTAATAGTCTCTACCTCATGGGATTGTTGTGAGGATTAAATGTGCTAATAGGTCTAAAGCACTGGGAACAGCACTTGGGATGTGCTGTGTAGACCAGGGACTGTGGCTTATAACTTCAGGGGTCTCATCTATATAGCTAATCTTTTGTCCTATTACCCCAATTTATTTAATAACCACTTATACGGTGCTGACATATGCTAAGTACAAATGCAAGCTCATTTAATCCTCACAGTAACCCAGTGAAGTGGGAGTATTATTATCTCCACTTTGCTGATGGAGAAACTGTGGCACAGAGTAGGGAAGCCGCTGCCCAAGGTCACACAGCTGGGATAATGCATCAGGCAGTGGGTTCCAGAGTGTGAGCTCTGCTGCCACTACGGTCAGACTGTCCCCTGGCAGGGCCGTCCTTGGTGAGTGGGTGGATGTAACGGGAGCAGGACAGGGTTGCAGCGTCCTGCAACCTTAGGATTGCGAAGGGCTGGACTGAGTAACTGGAGGCCCTTGGTGAGTGGCTTCTGCTCTGTGGGTCTCCACTGCTTGCCTGTAGGGCACGGTGAGCCATGGCTCAGGCCCTTCTGGCTTGAATCTCCTCTGAACCTAAGCTGTCCCCTGGCGTTGGGGTCACTAGGACAGCCCTGCCTGGACATCTGGCTCACCTTGTCCGTTGCTCCTGAAGTTCATACAGCAAGAGACACTAGCGTGAAATAAGGCCACAGCCATGACAGGGCAAAGGGGCAGAGTGGCGGCAGAGTCATCTGGTGTGTTTCATCCATTGGGACAAAGTTCAGAATTGTTTCAGAGTGAAGGAAGTGGAATGTGTCAAGTCATCAGGCGATGCGGACATGGCAGACTTGGAGGTGGGAGGATGGTGAGTGGGGGTAATGAGACAGGGAGTCGGATGCTAGTGTTGCTTCTTACCTGCTGGGTGACTCCACCTGGGCCTTAGTTTCCCCAAATATCAAATAAGTGAGTTGGACTGGAGCCCCTGCAGCTCTGATTCCCGGCCCTGTGTGAGTCTAGACTGCCATTAACGCCAGCGTGGGAGGAAATGGAGCCTGTGAACTACAGTGGGGAGTCTTAGTATTTGACTGAGCAAATGATTCTTGAGCAAAGCCCGTAGGAGCGTCCAGGGAATTGTAAGTGCACAGCAGCACGAACCCAGCTGAGGTAGGTGGCCCCCACAAGGCTGCCCCTGACGGTTGTGCACGGTTGTGCACGGTTGTGCAGGGGGCACCATGGAGTTGGGCAGCTCACAGCTCATGTGGCTCAAGGGATCAGCCCCAGATTGGTCTTAAAGGGTTCCCGAAACTCACCAAGCTCATTGATAGTGCATGTAATTCTCATAATTTAAGGCTATTAAAATGCAGATTTCTCTAGGAGTATCCCTGAATTGAGCTGTTGTCTTTATTCCTACCTTAATTTAGAGGTTCCCAAACTTTAGACACTTGAGCCCCATTTTCACACTTTGGTTTTCATATCTGGGTACCCCCTGGACTATCATGAATGTCCTGTTTTTCTCAATCTTACTTTTTAAAACTTAAATTTACTGTAAAATGGGGGCCATCTGTCATTACCTGGGAAGGAGAACCAGCGTCACTGCTATAAGTAGGAAGTCAGGAGGTCAAAGCACATTCATTGAAGACCAGATATTCTGTTTAGAGATTCTGGCCAAAGCCTGCCCCTTGGTTAGAGGGAGGTTGTCAGCATGAGTGTTAAAGATCTGCCGGCACCAAAGCGGGGCTTTGCTTCTCGGTGATCAGAGATTGAGAGCATAGACATACATGTATTGTACACGGTTGCCTAGCTATATAGCTGTATATACTCTAGAACAATGTAGCCTGTTGTCTATGTTCATAATGGAAGGATATGCTAGGTCTGAATTCAAGGTTAGTGAAAATAAAGAGATATCTTTTTTCTTGACAAATTCACAGTCCCCTGGATTTCACATTAAGAATCGATGTTACATCTTATAACATAGCAGTGCCTGTGAGGGGGAGCCAGTTTCCTAGGAAAGTAAGTTGTCAAAACCTCGTCACTCTCAGCCGTCAGGCCTTCCCAGCGGTAGGGAGCGCACTGTAATGGTTTTCTATATTTGGAATCATTGGTTTCCTTAGCAATTCTGTGTACTTATTCAGGCTTATAAAATTATTATTTCTAGAAAGAGTGCATGAACTTCCCAGAATGCCAGAAAGGTCCTGGACACACAGACAGTTAGGCTCCCCCAGTTTGGGAGGAAGAAAGGCTCTGGACATTTCCCCAGGAAGGACCAGGGAACCCCCTTCCCCTCAGCCCCTGACCTGTCCCCCCCTTTCCCCACAGTCTTCTCCCAGATGGTCATCAGCTTCTACTACGGGGGCAAGCTGGTGGGCCAGACCACCACCACCTGCCCCGAGGGCTGCTGCCTGTCCCTGAGCCAGCCGGGCCTGCCCAGCACCAAGCTGTATGGGCCGGAGGGCCTGGAGCTGGTGCGCTTCCCGCCTGCGGACACCATCCCCAGCGAGCGGCAGAGGCAGGTGACGCGGAAGCTGTTCGGGCACCTGGAGCGAGGCGTGGTGCTGCACAGTAACCGGCAGGGCGTGCTGGTCAAGCGGCTGTGCCAGGGCCGCGTGTTCTACAGCGGCAACGCCGTGCAGTGCAAGGACAGGCCCAACAAGCTGGAGCGCGACGAGGTGGTCAAGGTCTTCGACACCAGTCAGTTCTTCCGAGGTCTGTACACTGTCACCTTGCTGCCTGTGTCTTTTTCCCCCCCTAAATACATTTTTATTGATTTCAGAAAGAAAGGGAGAGGGACTGAGAGATAGAAGCATCAATGATGAGAGAGAATCATTGATCAGCTGCCTCCTGTACGCCCCACACTGAGGATCGAGCCTGCAACCCAGGCACGTGCCCTAACTGGGAATCGAACTGTGACCTCCTGGTTCACAAGTCGACGCTCAACCACTGAGCCACGCCGGCTGGGCTGCTGCCTGTATCTTAAAGATCACGCCTTCTTCCCAGGGCCATTTGTCGCCCACAGTCCCCATGGGGATATGTAGGGGCTAGAGGCACAGCTGCAGCAGGGGCGCCCCCTGTACTTGAATTCTGCTCTGCACTTCTTTTGCTGAGCGACCCTGGGGAAACCTCTCCGTGCCTGGACTTCCGGCTTGTAGAATGGGAGGAGCGTACAGCAGCTTCCTCGCACAGCTGTTGGGAGCATTAGGAACTTAGCACCTTGCAGCTCTGTATGGACCGTCCCTACACCCCGGGAGCTGGTTAGAAAGCATTTCTTTCCATGTGCCTTTGGGGCAGAATCTGCATCTTGGCCAGGCCCCAGGGGTTTGTGTGTGGACCTTGTAAACACTGAGTCCTCGGGACCACGCCCCCACACAGAAGTGCTGCACATCAGCCATGGTATTCTGGGAGGCGTATAATTAGCTTCCCACTGTGTGTGTTCCTCCTGGAGGTCAGGGTGTCCGAAACCAATCAGTCAGGCTGCCTACAGCACTGCCTGGGAACCCTTCTCTGTGCTCCAAAGCTCTCTGCTTCTCTCCCTCTTCCAGCCAGGAGCTAGTGGCACAGCCCTCCTGCCTCCTGGCCTGAGGACTCCTGGAGGCCTCCTGGAGAAGGGGCCCTGGCCAGGTGGGCGAGGTAGCATGTGTGAGCTCAGGTGTGAAAGCACCGAGGAGTTGCAAACACCCGTCCTTCCTCCTCGTGTCTTTCCAGAGCTGCAGCACTTCTACAACAACCAGAGCCGGCTCCCCGACAGCAGGGTGGTGCTGTGCTTCGGAGAGGAGTTTCCAGATATGACCCCATTGCGCTCCAAGCTCATCCTCGTGCAGGTAAGAACAGGCAGCTTCAGGGCTTGTGGCCAGATCTCCCAGACCACACATCGGGACCCAGCTTATTCTTGGGCGGAAGGGACTGGGGTGCTCCACTTGTGTGCAGGGGCAGGCCTGGCGAGACCTTCACGTGGCAGCAATGGATTCTTGCCACTGCCGAGCCATCTCCTGCTCCAGGACTCTCACAATCTGTGTGTCTCCCCTGCCCTTTCTTTGTTTGGTTTGTTTTTCAAAATCAAAACCTCCTTTCCAGAAGGATTCCACCCTGCCTTAAGGCCTAGGTGACCTTAATAAGGGTTTTACAAGCCCTTATTTAACCGTCGTCCAAGGAATGCAGCTCTAATAGTGGAGTTCTGGACACTGGCTAGCCAAGTGGGGGACAATATTGAAAAAACATACATAGGAATCTTTGTAGGGATACTGCTTTCCCCTTCTTTGCATCTCCTTATTCGGGGTTCATTCATTTGGGACTCAAAGGCTAGCTTTAGACGGGAGTAATCAAAGAATCTGGCTAAGGTCAAAGGAAGCCCCACCTCACTTCCCATCTCCAACTCTGACCTTGTGCACCATCCCTCTAGATTGAGCAACTCTATGTCCGGCAGCTGGTGGAAGAAGCTATGAAGACCTGTGGTGCTGGGTCCATGATGCAGGCTCCCGAGGAGCCCCAGCCAGACCAGGTCTTCCGGATGTTTCCAGATATTTGTGCCTCCCACCAGAGACCCTTTTTCAGAGAAAACCAACAGATCACAGTTTAAGTCTCTCTCTTGGGCACCCCACCCCGCCCACATCTCATAGTTCATTATTACAATTACTGTTGTAATTATTTAAGGATATAGATCCCTCTGACCTGGGGTGGGATGCCTCCCTCTGCTCTTAATTTAGTAAGGGCATTCTCTGAGGGCTCCACGTTCAAAGCGAAGTTGTGTCCAAATTCTCTCGTTCAGATGTAAACATTGAAGCCCACACCAAGTGGTCTGCATGGTGTAACTAGAACCTCTGATTAAAACGTTTGTTTCCTGTATTGTCCCCTAATTATCATTAGTTGCTGTGATCCTTCAGCATTTTGGGATCATTGATATTTCCCCAGGCTTTCGTTCACTTTGACTAGCACATAGTTGCTTGCAGTAAAGAAATCTGGGGATCAACTTGTGAAGACAAGTCTGCTTTTCGTCTTTATCTTTTGTTAGAGCTATAGATTTATGATTTCATGTGCTTGATTCGATGTGAGGTGCTTTTGTACTTTTAAGCATATTGGTAAGATTTAAAAATACATTAACAAGTACTTTAATAAGTATTATTAAGCTTCCCTTTAATAAGTGAAAGCAAGCGCTCTTGGCGAGTTTGGAGAACGTACATTCTTCCCAGAATCCGGTGCTAGGAAAGCGTTTCCGTCACCGTGCAGCCTGGTGTGTTCTGATTTGCAGGCCGTGGGAGGTTTCCCTTCGGCACGTTGTTGCAGGAAGCTTAGAGCTAAAGGTATTTTTTCATTTCTGCAATGAAGTCATCCCAGATAACCTCTCCGGCTGCTTCTTTCTAAATGGGTTTGACCTGTTTTTAAAATATTTGTAATTTTAATTGTCCAATTATAAACTGCTTTGCAGCTTTTCGTTCCCCCCCTTCTTTCCATAAAGTGGGCAGGACAGAAAGCACGCGTTCAAAATAAAGGGCGTCCCCCCGCCAAATGTCTGCACACTTTAACAGCTGACAGCTCAATTGCTGTTTCTTTCTTTTCATATTTAACCCATTGGAATTAATAATTATTCAAAGTGTGTCTACATTTTTGGGGGACACCCTGTATAATTGTGGATTTTATGAGCCTTTTGCTTGTACCTCGATTCAGTCACTCCACTCACCAGCCGGTGGTGTTGAGTGTGAAGCCATGGCTAGAGTGGATTGGGGATGTGGACGACACATGTTACCTGTCACCACTACACTGGTCTTGGGGTGAGCTGTGGCTGGGGGAATGCCTTCTCCCATCGCTACCACTCCTCCACGCCCCCACTGCACACCAAATTCTTCAGAAGAGCCATCTAGTGGGATTTCCATGGAGAAGTCCCAGTTTAATGCTGATGCTAATCAAAAGCCAGGGACAGAAGGCTGAAACCAATGGCCTGGCTTAACAGAGAGGGCAGTTCAGGCTACCTCAGACCCTCCAGTGAGCAGTAAACCACATCCACAACCTGCTAAACTGCTTTCAGGATCAAAGAGCACTTGAACATTTTTTTTTTTCTAAATAAGTGTTGTATTTTGCCAGGTTGGGGTGCCTCTTGTCTGTGTGGCCCCTGTGTGCTGCACCGGACCTGGCAGAGATTGGCACCCATGCATGTGGGGAGCGCCTGCCCCACTTCTTGGTGGTGCAATTTGCTGGTCTGGCAGAGTCAGTCCCACCGTGGATGCACCAGGCGGGTTTGGGGGTTGGGAGGGCGCGGTTGCTTTGCTTCCACTTTCTTGGGGGTGGGGAGAAGCATCTTTTCTGTATTCTTTTCCCTTTGTCACACTGCCTGGGTCATCACCACCCCTGACTCAGAATCTTACCATGAAAGGACATGTCACCCCATCGATGTGAAACACTCACATCGAATGTGAAGAAATGGGAAGAGTTGGAATTTGAGGGACAAATTGCCCCCGCTCAGCCAATCTGGTGGCCTTGAATAACAAAAGTCCCCGATTTAAAATCTGAAAGGCCAAAGAATGCCTGTTTATTTCCCCCCATTATTGCTGCGAGGGTGATGCAGGTGTAGCACTAGCCAGCTTAACAATTACAGGGCCTTCGGATGTGCCGGAATTCACGCGGGCACATAGGAAAACTTCAGTAAAAGTGGCTCTTCGCCTTTGGCCAACCAAGTGAGCATTACAGTTTTAAGGATAACAGCTCTTTTCTGAAATTTGGTGAGATACTGGTGGATAGGCTTTAGTTTGTAGCTCAACTGAATGTCAAAATATACATCTTTAATATGCAGGATGAATATTTATTTTTGTATGCATTTAAAAATATGTTGATCTCCTTTATTCTTTATTAAAATAAAGTGCTCTTTTTTAAAGCTGATGTGTGCTCTGTTTTTTTTGTTTAAGTTACTGTTCAATATGTTATCATTTTCACTAGGTTCTAGGTACTGTAAAGGGGGAATTAAAAAATAACACCACACTGTGATTTTAAGAATGCTTTGCTTGTTTGTTTTTCACTCATCCCCAGGAAAATAGAAAAACTATACGGATACTTGCAGATCATGTAGAATTTCCTGGAGAAATGTGGGGCACACCCTGTTTCTACTAAAACTGAGGGCCTATTTGGGGTTCTGTGAACTGACTGATGACTGCAGAGGGTGTGGAGGTAGTAGGAGGCTGGCATTGGTAGCAGCACTTCCTGGAAGCTGCTGGAAATGAGTTGTAGGAGGGCCTCCTGGGTTGGGTCAACTACATGTGATGGGACTGTGAATCCTTTCATTCATACACATGCTCATTGCACTGTCCTGGGACCAGAGTGGGGACACAAGGGACCCAGTTTGCTTCTAGTTTAATGGGACATGCCTGTTGAACAACCCAGCAAAAATTGTCAATTGCGGGGAGGCACAGGCTCCGGCCAACCCAGGTAGAGAGATGGTACCCAACACACTCATCTCCATGGCAATGGGTATGACCTCTCCAGCCTCAGATGAGCCCAGGGCGACTGGGGCTGTTCTTATTCTCAGGTTATAGATGAGGAAACCGAGGCACGGCCCATGTTTGACTGACTGCGGGTCAGGTCTGAGAGGCTTTCTGACAACACTTTGCTGCCGTGCTGAAGCCTCCTAGCTGATAACACCACATGGGAAAGGCAGCAGCTGGGCAAACCGCTGCCTTTCCCAGAAATCTTTGCAGTGAGTCATGTTCATTCCCGAATGCTGCAAGTAGGAATTTTGTTTATAAGCAAGCCTGTGCGTCCATCTGGCCTGCGAATTCGGGACCAACTTGATGAAGTCTGCCTCTCCCCAGAGTTCAACACCCTTGTGCCGATAGTTGGCAAATTCTTCCCACTTAGCTTCTTACAGCATCCTGGGAGGGCGAGGAGGGAATGCAGGGATAAGATGCATCAGGAGTAACCAGAAGTTCTAGAAAATGCTGTTAGGACCATATATGTGAATTAGCTTCTGAGAGGTTGACTTCTCCAGGACCTGAGGGGCAGCTGGTGGGAACGGGCTGATGAGACATGCTGGGAAATAAACGGCGTCCACTCTTTGTACTTGAAAACATTCAAAGGAATGAAGGTATTTCAACAGTTACTTTCTGAGTGCCATTTAGCGCATTAACTCCGGCAAAATACATCTAAAATGGGAAATTTTTTGTTTTCTTTGCAATGTCCAGATGGATTGAGATGGTGACCCCAGGGGTTAGCATCCAGGGGCTCTGCTGGGCCCTCAGAATCCTGGGAGAATTTTGCCGAAGGGCAGGCATTCCAGTGAACTACAGGGATAATTCTCTTCACAAAGAAGCAATTGTGGGAACTTAACTTGTGTGAATGATTCAGGATCTCCACAATAGAAAGTTTCATAACTCAATTACCCAGAAATATTCAGAAAGTCTTTCTAAAGAATTATCTATAATTAATGACTGTAATTGTGACAGCTCAGTAGGCTGGGAGTGAGGGAGGGGGTGCTTTCTCAGTGGAAAGACTGGCTGCTTTTACTAGAAGTAGGAGGGAAGCAGCAAACATCGTGACCCACTCATAATCTATACCTCCTTCTTGGACAGGTGCACAGTACAGCAGCATGTTAAAAGGTCTCACTCATGGTCAGACTCTTATTTAATTCAATGTTTCCCAAAGTCATTTGCTCTAATGTTATGCCTTGCAATGTAGCTATAGATGAGTGGTGCCTAACTGTGCATATTTCTATCCTGCTCTTATTGGCCTGTCTTTCGGTCTAAATGGAGTCTGCCAGGGTGGGGATGGCTTCACTCATCTCTTTCTGTGTAATAAAATACCCCCAAACTTAGGGGCATAGAAACATTGTATTTTGCTCATGGATTCTGTGGGCCAGAATTTAGACAGAGTATGATGGTGTTGGCTATTCTCTATTCCATAATGTCTGCAGCCTTCCCTGGGAAAACTTGAATGGTTGAGGATGACTGGAGTGCCTGGGGGTGGAATCACTTGAAGCCCTTTTCATCCATATGTCTGTTGCTTGGGCCAGGAGGACTGGAAGGCTGGGCACAGCTGGAATGTTGACACGTGGTCTCTTCATGTATTTCGGGCTTCCTCACAATATGGCGGCCTTGAGGGGAGACCAATGGAGAAAGAAGAAGCTGAAAGTCTGTCTATAGTCTGGCCTCAAACTCCATTTAGCCTCACTTCTGCCACACACTATTGATCAAAGCAGTCACAGACTGCCCAGATTCAGAACAGGCTGAGCCCCCACCCTCTGATGATAGGAGTGTCAAGGAATTTGCAGTCATATTTTAAAACTGCCACGGGGGCCCAGAAGCATGTTCTCCTTTGCTACTCATCCCATATGCCTTTTAAAGTCTTCTGCCCTCTCCCTGGAAGTCCTGGCTCCTTTCTGCCCCCAATCTTGAGTCCCAGACAGGTAGATCTTTTCCTCATTCCAACTTGGCATTTGTCTTCTTCAGAACATAGTCCTTTTCTGGCAAGTACTGCTCATCTCCTAGGGCAGTGATGGCGAACCTATGACACACGTGTCAGAGGTGACATGCGAACTCATTTTTTTGGTTGATTTTTCTTTGTTAAATGGCATTTAAATATATAAAATAAATATCAAAAATATAAGTCTTGCCGAAACCGGTTTGGCTCGGTGGATAGAGCGTCGGCCTGCGGACTGAAAGGTCCCGGGTTCGATTCCGGTCAGGGGCATGTGCGTTGGTTGCGGGCATGTCCCTAGTGGGGGATGTGCAGGAGGCAGCTGATCGATGTTTCTCTCTCATCGATGTTTCTAACTCTCTATCTCTCTCCCTTCCTCTCTGTAAAAAATCAATAAAATATATTTAAAAAAATATATGTCTTTGTTTTACTGTGGTTGCAAATATAAAAAATTTTCTATATGTGACACGGCACCAGAGTTAAGTTAGGGTTTTTCAAAATGCTGACACGCCAAGCTCAAAAGTTTCGCCATCACTGTCCTAGGGCTTGACTCTGATCTGTTACTGTGTGAAAAAGATCCCCTTCCCACCAGGAGTGAAGATGGGGCATACAGGGAACTTTCCAGATAGGGTGAACTTTGGTTGCTATGGTGAGAGCCCCTTATGGAGTTTTCCTGTTCCCATCCATCCTTATGTTCATTATCCTGAGGGTGAAGCAGGGTCACGTTTCCCTCCTCTCATCCCCAAGTCTATGGCTCTTGCAAAAATTTGAAAGATTATGCCACTGGTTATGGTGACTGTGGGGCCCAGGTTGAACTCACCTGTAGCTGAGCGAAAGAGGGCAGGTCAATAAGCCCCCCCATGTCTCAGTTCCCCTATCTGTAGGCTTGTTGTGAGGATTAAGTGAGTTAACATATTAAAGCAACTTAGAATAGAGCTTGGCAAAGAATCAGCAATTTATTAACATGAGCTGTCATTTTTGAGAAGCTGTGCATGGTCCTGGTTTGGATTCCCCCAGTGGCATTGCCAGGAACAAGGATTCCAGGGGAAGTCTGTTTGGGAGGTCATCTCAAGAGAGGCTGGTAGGGAAGGGGATGAGTTGATGAAGACGCATTATGGAGCCGGTGATGTTGTGGCTGCTGGAGTGTGATCCTGCTGGACTCTGGGAAACGACGAGGCACAGCCTGCAAAGCTGGCCCTCAGGGATGAGGGAGCAGGATATTCATACACTTGTCTCCATCAGCTGTTGGGTGAGGGCTTTTTAAAGCCTGCCAGGGGCGGGTAATTACTTGGTCTTTCTGGCCTGCCTTGCGTGCAGGAGGCGTGGGCCCTGGTGGCCAGAGAAGCCTCAGCCACTGACGCTGGTGCTGGCAACTGGAAGTCATCTGTTTCCAAACGTGTTGCCTTGGTTATGGAGAGGGAGGATGTGCAGCGCCACAGAGCAGCCTCCAGACCCCGAAGGCCCACCGCTCAATTCCAGCTCAGTGCTTCTTAGCTGTGTGTCCTTGAGAAAGTCACTTATACTTTCTGTTCCTCAGTTTCCTTATCTGTAACATGGGGGTGATAATACTACCAATTGTGAGAATTAAATGACTACGTAAGCATAAAGAACTTAAAACAGCACCTGAATAACAAAAGAACGAGTATAACAGTGTATTGTAATTAAAGTTACTTGCATGTGGTCTCCCTCTCTCTGTAACTGAGGGTAAGTTTCTGTAAGTGACTAATAGATGGGCAGTATCTACAGTGAGGATTCACTGGAGAAGGGGGTGACTCACGTCCTGGGCAGGATGAAGTGGGACTGCGTGAGGTTTCATCACGCTACTCAGAACGACACACAGTGTAAAACTAATGAACTGTTTACTTCTGAAATTTTCCATTTAATATTTTCAGTCCATGGTTGACTGCAGGTAACTGAAACCACGGACAGGGAAGCTGTGAATGGGGGGTGAGGCCGGGGGCGGGGGGGGGGGGGCTGCTATAATTATAATGCAATTGTTAAATCCTTATAATGTCATCTTTTATTTACTACTGTCTGCTCTTGGGCAGATAAGGGCCATCTGCCCTGTGACCACTCTGATGGCAGCCCTCTAACCAGAGCTGGAACATACTGGGGCTGGGCTGTTTGTCCAGTGAGTGGCGGGTGAATGCGTGCAGGTCAGGGCTCTCTCTGGTGCTGAAAGCAGCGCTCGGTGGGAGAAGCCACCGCAGGACACACAGGAAGAAAGGGCTACAGGAAGCAGCGTATCCAAAGATGCCTGGCCCATAGCAGGTGCTCAAGACATGTTCCCTTCCCATCCCCTTCTTATAAAACGTGAAAAAATGAGAGGATTTCATAGGGCTTCTGTGAGGTCCAATGAACTCACAGAATCCTTGCAGCGGAAGTTCTTGGGAGCCCATCCACAGATCTCTGCCCTCCTTCCAGTCTTCCAACGAGAAAACTCAGCTTTTGCCTTCTCCCTTCTAGGCG